CCAGCAGCCTGGAAGCCCCAAGCCCAGAGGGACCCTAAATGCATATCTCCCCTGTCTCACAAAAGATATGACCTGCGCCCAGGGCCCCGCCTTCCCTTCCAGAGCTAGGCCCCGTGCATCTCCCAAGAGCGCTGCGGCTGCGGTATGTGCTGCTCCACACGGATGTCCCATTTAGACAGATCATCTGTCCTGTAAATTCCCCCCAGCCCACGCAAAAAGCAGTCAACAAGACAGCAAAACCAGAATCAGTGTCACATGGTGTGATTGGATGAGACTGCTTGACCGTGACAACTTGTTTCTACCTCGATGCCAGGCAACCTGGGTATCCTGGAACTCCAACCAGCTCGTTGGTTCACAAAGACCAAGGCAGTTTGTGGCTTTGGATGCTGCACCTGATGGTGTCTGGTTCAAATCCAGGGTTGGCAGAGTGATTTCCCCATTGGGCCCCTGAGCAAGACCCTTAACCCTGTGTGGTTTCGTGGTGTAGGGATTCACCCTCAGTCTTGTGTTTCTCTTTTATCACAGTTTAGAGGAATACAATGGCTGGCTGCACCACATCCCAAAAGTATCAGATTTTATCAACACAAGTTAATATCTAGAGTTAACTAAAGTTAATAATGTTAACTTAATAATTAAAGTTTGTGAAGTTAGTTACCTAAAACATTTCCTGGAAAAGAACAGAAGTGCCTTCATTTAATTTATTTACTGCAGCATAAATATTTATTAAAAACAGGAACACTTTCGTCATCAACACATGTCCAGCTTCAGCTGTGGTAACTTGATGGCTGCCTCCTTTACCTGCTGTGTGATGTCAGTTCCAAAGGGTGCCCTAGGGGAAAGACCCAGCAAAGGAGGCCACAAGTGGCACTTCTTAGGACAATTAACGACACCGAGCCTATGTCAGAAACCCTGCAGCGGTGCTGGCCATTTGCACACTGCCACACTGTACATAAAACCATTTACACACTGTCCTAATTGTTTGTTTGTTACACACACACACACACACACACACACACACACATATATATATATATATAACACATGCACACACACACATGCATACACACAAACATGTAAACAACATATGTGTGTGTGTATGTATTACAAAATGTTCTCTGTGTTCTCTTTAGCCACAGATTTTAGGCTACCCCCTCCCCCCAACTTAATTTGTTTAATGTAATTCAACCTTTATTGATCTGTACTCTCTTTTTGTTCAGTCTCCAGAGCGAGCCAGATTTACCCCAGAATTCCACTGAGAGCAGTTGTGCAGCATTCTGGCCATGGTCCTGATCACCTTTATACTTTATACTACAAAGCAGAGCAGCAGGCCAGAGGTTGTTCAGCAGGAAGGAGGAGGATAAATGCTGGTGTTTTCCTCCTGCTAACAGGCAATGTATGTAAAATGTAGTAACGAAATAATTATGATGAATGTATTTTTGTTTTGATGAATGTACTTTTAACAACAACAGCCACAATCTCTGATCCATGTCATTTATAACTGGGCTTAACTGTATTTATCATTATCTCTAGAGTACAGCACAACAAAACAGTAAAAACTGTGATAAACAAAACAGTCAAAAAAGACTCAATTTAACTACACAGATGATTTGCCTATGGTAGAACAAAAATTCAAGGAAAAAAACTAAAAATTAGCAAGCTGACGAAACACTCTGCTTCTGGGGGTTGAGGATGTGCAGTAGACGGAGCAAAACTGCGTTGTAGCTGGAACGCAGTACAACCGCTCTCTACGAAATTCCAGGGTTATTGTAAGGNGTTCCCAGGGCAAATGGAATGCACCAAAACTGCCCGAAATGGGTTGACAGAGACATTTCAGGGATTTTGAGTCATTCTGCGCTGCAGATGGGTTAGTTGCGTTAAAAAATTTAATCAGATTAATCATGATGATGGATTAATCCGCGTTAACCCGTTAATTTTGACAGCCCTAATATATATATATAAATTTATACTCGTATTCAGAGTCGGATTCCGGAGTTTTGAAGCCGGAAGTGACGACATGCACGCTCCCGTTTCTCGGAGATCCGAGAAATATCGGAGCAGCACAGAGGATCCCAAGTTCAGAATCTGAGATGGCTGCGCCCTTTATCAACAGAAGGGAAAGTTATAGTTTTATACTGTTTAAGCACTACTCATTTGTGGCTCGTTAAATCGGTTGCACACACTACTATACCATCCAACTTATCTGTGGATGTGTTGCTACGGAGTTTTATATGTAAAGCACCGCACGTAACTGATATTGCTAACAATGGCAATTAACCGGGCTAGAATTGGATTTCATGATTAGTCGGACTATTTGTCAGATTTACGGTAGTTTGGGCTAATTGTAACTGAACGAAGATAAAGACCGTTTAAACTGAGGTACCTTAAATACGACAAGTTGTCCGGCTAAGCAAAAAATCTTGCTTTTTGATATGGCTCCATGGTATTGCACTTGTGTGGCAGATGGAATGCATCCGACTCGTGTTCAAGATGTTCAATAAACATGTTAAGTGCATATATATTCCCCTTTTTCTTAAGTCTGTTTGCTCATGCAAAATTAAATGTCATTAATATAGATTAAAAATTAATTATATTTAATCGTGATTAATTGAAATTAATCCACAGCAACCCTGTGATTAATCTGATTAAAAATTTTAATCGTTTGACAGCACTAATTATTAGACAACAATAAAAAATTGAATGGTATATTGTTGTTCATTTTGCATTGGTTTAAAACCCTTATTACGGGGACTTGCCATGTGCTTCTTCAGTTTTGCAGTTCAGATGCAACCATACCCACAAAATTCTAAATTAACAGATGCGGTATATAAATATAATACCACTGTCAGAACATTCCAAACCTGTTTTTTCATCTTGGATTCCTTATTTAAAGAGCAACACATGCATAACCTTATTCGTCCAATATTAGTAAAACTTTGATGCTGACATGATCTACTGGCTCCCATTACAAGATGAATAATCAAATACCTTTGGCTTGCTGAGCAAGTGTTTCACTGTTTGTGCATTCAATTTTTTAAATGTCTTGAAAACATTTTTGTTAATAAAATTATGATACGATGATCATCTATATATATATATGTGTGTGTGTGTGTGTGTGTCATGGAGAACAAAATAGGGTGTGTGATAAAGATGTGTGGATCGATACTGACATATAGACTTGATGTTGAATGTTTCATTTCGAGAATCAGTTCTAATGTTAAAAAAATGTTATATTAACTTGGTAATATAAAATGTCTGTATTAGGGAGTAGGATATGACTCAGTATCAGTCAGGGTTGGGCAGGACTTAATATAAGTATCAACTATACCAGCTTTTGTATTGGGTTGAAAAGAAAATCAGTTGTATTGCCCATTCCTGTATCACAAAAATGAATAGAGCTACTCCATCCATTCATCCATTTTCTGTAACCACTCATCCTATTCAAGATCAGGAGGTTATGGGCACACAAGGTGTACCTATTCACACCTATGGGGCAATTTAGCAATGCCAATTTACCCTCAGCATAGTTTTGGACAGTGGGGGAAATCAGAGTACCTGAAAGAAGCCCCACAACACAGGGAAAACATGCAAACTCCACATCCTGGCAGAGACTTGAACCCTCCTCCCAGAGGTTTGAGGCAATAATGCTAACCACTGCACCACTATGTCACCCCAAAAGCAACTCCATTCTATACAAATAGAAATTTAAATTATTTAGCATGTCTCCCTCTAGTGGATGAAAAACCACATAACGTTTATTAAGCCTATCCTGGTACTATTACTACTACTAGTAGTAGTGGTAGTATTATTATTATTGTGGTTGCCAATTTAAAGAAAGAGAAGAGCTTCTGACTTTCAGCAAAGACATTTTATTCAAAGCTACATACATAGATAAATAAGAGAGCCGGGTCAGCCAGTCCCTGGGCTAAATAGAAGTAAAGGGCCTTGCTCAGGGGCTCAACAGGGAAACCGCTTTGCTGACCTTGGGACTTGATTCAGTGATCTTCCAACAATCTTATCCTGCTGAGCTACACAGTGCCCCCAAGCTTCAGCCTGCCTGTCAAGAGTGACTTCTCCAAAGTGGCCATTCTCATTCTCTGAGCTTGTTATGGCGCTCATCATCCCAACACCATCCTCCTAGAGGATTATCCCCCTAGGGGATCCCGACAGCCACTCTGGAGCTGAACTGGGAGCAGATTTACTGCACCATGGAAAAGCCCCTCCCGGGCCGGAGTCTCACACTGCTGCCGCTGCCTGCAGCACACAAGGGTGCATCCTGTCTGCCGCCAGTCTGCTCGACTCATTACACAGCACGCCAGCAGCCTGGAAGCCCCAAGCCCAGAGGGACCCTAAATGCATATCTCCCCTGTCTCACAAAAGATATGACCTGCGCCCAGGGCCCCGCCTTCCCTTCCAGAGCTAGGCCCCGTGCATCTCCCAAGAGCGCTGCGGCTGCGGTATGTGCTGCTCCACACGGATGTCCCATTTAGACAGATCATCTGTCCTGTAAATTCCCCCCAGCCCACGCAAAAAGCAGTCAACAAGACAGCAAAACCAGAATCAGTGTCACATGGTGTGATTGGATGAGACTGCTTGACCGTGACAACTTGTTTCTACCTCGATGCCAGGCAACCTGGGTATCCTGGAACTCCAACCAGCTCGTTGGTTCACAAAGACCAAGGCAGTTTGTGGCTTTGGATGCTGCACCTGATGGTGTCTGGTTCAAATCCAGGGTTGGCAGAGTGATTTCCCCATTGGGCCCCTGAGCAAGACCCTTAACCCTGTGTGGTTTCGTGGTGTAGGGATTCACCCTCAGTCTTGTGTTTCTCTTTTATCACAGTTTAGAGGAATACAATGGCTGGCTGCACCACATCCCAAAAGTATCAGATTTTATCAACACAAGTTAATATCTAGAGTTAACTAAAGTTAATAATGTTAACTTAATAATTAAAGTTTGTGAAGTTAGTTACCTAAAACATTTCCTGGAAAAGAACAGAAGTGCCTTCATTTAATTTATTTACTGCAGCATAAATATTTATTAAAAACAGGAACACTTTCGTCATCAACACATGTCCAGCTTCAGCTGTGGTAACTTGATGGCTGCCTCCTTTACCTGCTGTGTGATGTCAGTTCCAAAGGGTGCCCTAGGGGAAAGACCCAGCAAAGGAGGCCACAAGTGGCACTTCTTAGGACAATTAACGACACCGAGCCTATGTCAGAAACCCTGCAGCGGTGCTGGCCATTTGCACACTGCCACACTGTACATAAAACCATTTACACACTGTCCTAATTGTTTGTTTGTTACACACACACACACACACACACACACACACACATATATATATATATATAACACATGCACACACACACATGCATACACACAAACATGTAAACAACATATGTGTGTGTGTATGTATTACAAAATGTTCTCTGTGTTCTCTTTAGCCACAGATTTTAGGCTACCCCCTCCCCCCAACTTAATTTGTTTAATGTAATTCAACCTTTATTGATCTGTACTCTCTTTTTGTTCAGTCTCCAGAGCGAGCCAGATTTACCCCAGAATTCCACTGAGAGCAGTTGTGCAGCATTCTGGCCATGGTCCTGATCACCTTTATACTTTATACTACAAAGCAGAGCAGCAGGCCAGAGGTTGTTCAGCAGGAAGGAGGAGGATAAATGCTGGTGTTTTCCTCCTGCTAACAGGCAATGTATGTAAAATGTAGTAACGAAATAATTATGATGAATGTATTTTTGTTTTGATGAATGTACTTTTAACAACAACAGCCACAATCTCTGATCCATGTCATTTATAACTGGGCTTAACTGTATTTATCATTATCTCTAGAGTACAGCACAACAAAACAGTAAAAACTGTGATAAACAAAACAGTCAAAAAAGACTCAATTTAACTACACAGATGATTTGCCTATGGTAGAACAAAAATTCAAGGAAAAAAACTAAAAATTAGCAAGCTGACGAAACACTCTGCTTCTGAAACACTTCTAGTGGGGGTTGAGGATGTGCAGTAGACGGAGCAAAACTGCGTTGTAGCTGGAACGCAGTACAACCGCTCTCTACGAAATTCCAGGGTTATTGTAAGGTGAACCAGTGTAAGTAACAAGTCTTGAATCATTTAAGTACTGCCTCATAAACCTAAATCTTTATGATCACTAGTGCTGTCAGGTTAAAGGTGCCTGGCGGGGCTTCTCTGACTTACTTTGGCTCATACATAACATGTTGTCCATGTGTCAGGACCCCCTTCTCCTCCCTGAGTCTTTCAATGCCATTCCTGGAGAATAAAAGACATGAAAATGCAACTGATGATATGCAAGGGAGACGGAGGTGTGTCAGCTTGGGGACAAGACGTGGGATCCACTCACCACGCAATCATGACCCCATTGTCAGTGCACAGCTCGGGTGGAGGGCAGATCAGCTGTAGGCCAGTGGCATCGGTGACCATTTTCAAGGTGTGCCTGATGTACTGGTTGCTGGCCACACCCCCTGACACCACCTAAGATCAACAGGGCATCACTATGACAATGCACCACACTGACATAGCCAAGAAAATGGGTCCCATGCATCAGCAGGGGCTTTGCAGCTAAAGAACTGGACAGCCAACCAAGACCATGAAAAGTCTCATCTCCTTATGCCGGTGCCTAACCAAGGTCCTGTGGTAACTATCCCAGGGTTAGGAACACAAAGTGTACACATAAAAGCCTGAATATTCAGAAGTCACTCACCAGGGCGGCATCACTCTGAGGCAGAAGGCCGTTGGCCTTGCTGAACAGGATGGCGCGATGCGTGCGGTTGGCCAGGTGGGCGGCTACAGCATGCTGAGTGGCCGCTGCAATGTCGCCGGCGCAGGACAGCACCTCCCCCGGCCGCACCCCTGCCAATGGACACGGGTGAGACGGCGCTGGCTGGGTCAGGAGCTGGGCGACTGCGTAGACAGCATACCTTCCTCCTCCTCTTTCATCTCGATCGCTCGGGTCACCTGGTTCCGGAGGCCAGCGAAGGAGAGGTGGCAGTCATAGCGCTGGGCCATTGGCAATGTGAAACAGAACCTGGACCTGTCACCTGCCCTGGCCACACACTCCAGGGCCTGCCCCCCGCTGCACACCGCCCACTCCGGCCGGCTCTGCAGGGATAACCTCCTTGCCACCTGAGTGGAAATCCAGTCGAGTCAGTGAGTGTGAAGTGATTCGCCAAAAGGGCCATCAAACATGAAATCACCGCCAGCCAGACCTTATCCAGAGTATCCCCCGGGGCCTCATCCAGCGCTCGGCCTAGCAGCAGGAAGTCGTCAACGCCCCTCGCCATGGCTAAGAGGCCATGCCCCCCTGAGACCAGTAGCACCAGGAATGGGAACGGCATAGGCTGGATCATCCTAACAGTCAGGGCATGTGCCTCCATGTGGTGAACAGGAATGAAAGACTTCTTGTGCTTGTGCACAAAGCTCAGGCTGTACTCCAGACCCACCCTGAGGCTCAGAGCCAGCCCGGGCTTCACAGTGGTCGCCACTGCGGACAGATCACCGGGCGCAACGCCACTCCAGTCCAAGGCATTCTGCACCACTCTGGCTATGTTCTCCTGGTGAAGTTTCTGGGCAACTACCGGAATAATGCCACCAGTTCTACAGGAAGTATGGTAAAGACAACAATCATGACACTGTCTTATGTGGCTGTCTTATGTACTATTGTCGTCCCCCCCATCCACCTGTCCCCTCCCATGTAGCTGTAGCATAAGAATTTCACTATTGTCCTACAAACACACGTGGCAATAAAACTTAATACGTATTTAATGAAAAACAAGCCGCTGATGGGAAGCCGGCTACCTACTTTATATGCACGTCTTTCTGGGAGTGCAGAGACTCCCCAAGGACGGTGCCCTCCTCGTCCACCACGGCGGCTCCCGTATCATCGCAGCTCGTCTCTACACCCAAAACTAGCCGCCGGCCCACCGGTCCGGAAAAGGATCTGGCCGGACAGCTCAGCGCACATCGCAAGGACCTCCGGAGAGCATCTGACATAAACATGGCTTGGTGCGTCTTCAAAGCCTGACAAGTTCATGGGGAACGGCGCTCATCGTGCAACACAGAGTGCGAGGCAGAGCAGTCAAACAAACACGAGAGTGCGACTGTGACACGTGACACAAACACCGCTACGAACTTGTACGAAGTTACGACGGAACAGATTAAAACGCTACACATGAACACTTCCGGCAGGAAACTGCTGCACCAGGAATGGGTTCCGTTTACAAGAAATTGGTTGTGCAGATACACGGAACCTCTAAAATTAAAATGCTGCACCATTCACGTAACATACCTAAATGCACAGCCACAGTAACTTCACGTTACAATAACATACTCAGAAAAATAGTCTATTGACATTGTCTAGCTTTTGTACCCATTAAAAGTTGCTTTGCTGTCTAAAGCTACACCTGTAAAATATATGAATAAAAGCAGTATGTGTAAAAATGTCTTACAAGTTAGTGAAAGTGGACAGATTGAGTATTTTTGTCATTCCTTGCAATAATGCAGGCTGGCTTGGTGGCTCAGTGGACAGTAGTGTCACCACACACCCACCAATCTGACCCCTGCCCTGTGTTTTTCCATGTTCTCCCATGGTACTCACATTACCTCCCACAGTCTAAAAGACATGCATTTAGGTGAACTGTAATCTCTAAATTCGGTGTAGAGTGTGACTGTGCATGTAAATAGACTCGGATCCCCCCCATAACCTATGCCCTGTGCTGGAGAGAACCCGTAGGCCTATACTGAATAAGAGGATGGATGGATGACAGGAGAAGGCTTAAAGGGCACATTTTTGTTTATTATCTTAGGCACTGACAGAGTACCGACACTACAAACAAGCAGAGGCAATGTGGCCTCAGTAAAAGTATAATCTATAAAAACAACAGCCAAATAAGCATAAACACAAACACGGCATAAAGTAATTCCTTTAAAAAAAAAAAAAAAAAAAAAAAAACACAGAAGTGTAGCCAAGCTAACCTAAACCATTATTTCTTTGCCTCTGTAGAGTACTACATATAAAAAAGTCCAAACCCAAAGGGTTCTTTTTCAGATCTGAGGAAACCATGCAACATTAGTCTCAGTGTTTCCTACATCATTCCCCCGTTGCTTCAGAGCAACCGGAGTCTAAGAATCATGGCACCCTGCTCTGATGAACAAATAATGTGTGAAAAACGCATCTGGAATTTTATTTCTCTCCTGAAAACGTTTATAAAAGATGAAAATAAAAGGACCATAAAGGACTGTGCAACACTAAATGTGGAAAATAAGAGATAATAACAAATCATTATCACATATGTCAAGGGAAAAACGACCAGTTTAAGATCTGGGCCTGCCCAGGTCTGTGACAACATTAAATACGTTAGTTAGTAACGCACACACTGTTCATCTCTGCCAGCATCCATCCTGTGCAGCTTCAGAGGAAGCACCTAACCCATCAACACGTCAGTTACCCATTCTGTGACATACAAAGCACAGCGGGATATCAGCTTGCATGGCCCAAATATGGCTTCACTGCGCCCTCTATTGGGCAGCTTCTTTAATACTTGTTGATCCCTAGGATTCGGACACCATGGAGCTGTGGCAGCTTGGGGATGAGCACACTCAGGAGGGAAGCTGTGTTAATCACAAAATGAGCAGGATCATACTTCGTGTAGAAGCTCGTAAGAAAATACCTGAAAGACACAGCAAGACATGCAGTGCAATTCAGGCAGACACATCAGCATTCATTATGAAGCACAACAAAAATAAATTGATATATGCTATTAGAGCAGCTACACCCGTGGGAAGTTTGATTTATAAATCAATCTCGTTACAGAAAAGAAGGTTCCGAAGCTCATGACTTTAAAGAAATAACTTCCATTTTGAAAATGTCACAGGTTTCTATGTGATCAATAGCAGGTTGTTATATTACATGAAACACTTACAGAATGATTGGTGAGATTGTGAAGAACTTCCTGGAAGAGGTGAACTGTACACCATAGTCCAGCTGCTCCCAGTGTGTGAGAAGCCTGGCTTTCCCCTGATCAGGAGTCTCAAAGGGTGTACCCTTGACAGCATGCAGGAACACATACATCCCCTACGGACACACAAGAGCCAGAGGAAAGCTTTACTGGTGATGACAAATGTACGGGAAATATATACAGAGCCGAGCCAAGGAGGAGACATGAAAATTTATAATGTAAATGCAGCCCCAAAATAAAGGCATAAAACTCTAGAGTCAAGAATTCCTGAACAGCCAGAAGATCTGTTCAAATCTTTCCATCTTATCCATTTTTAAGGCAGGATTGACTAAGTCACTAAAGGTATCAACAGAAAAAGTCAAAAGCTGCCAAAGCCATGCCAGTCATTCCACTTATCCCTGAGGGTCACCAACCAAGTTGTGGATAACATTAGTCAGGGTCCAGACGACAGGAACGCTGAAGAACGGGATGCTGAGGAGCACGACGTGAAGGAGCCCCACACCCAGCGCATACGTCAGCCAGATGCCCCGGCTGTTCATCACACGTGTATTGGGGTTCACCTCGCTGTGGGCCACACCTACATTCATGGTGCGTGTTACTGGGAATGGGGTGAGGGGGCACAGCATTAACTTCAGGACAATGCTTGGTCAAAAAAGATTAATCTTTTGCAAGACACCCATTTCTTTATCACAGGTCTGTTCCAGGGTTGGAGTAACAGTAACTTACTTTAAATAATAGTGCCCAAGCGTTGTTACCAGTCTGTGATCAATAACGGCACGTCTACAAAAATACACAGGCAAATCAATGACGTATAATTATAGTTGCAGGAATATATGCAATATTACAATAACAGACAACTCAGACAATCTCTAGAAAAACATCTACCTGTGTAGGGTATAACAGGCGGTGACAAACTGCATGTTGACCAATAATTAATCATAATGAAAAAGCCAGAGGCGGGGGATAGATAAAAAAGCACAAGAAAACCCGGGCTCGGTGGAGCATCTCTGAGTAACGAACCGCTGGTGGAGGAGTTTCTATGAGGGGGTGCGCCATACAAGGTACATTCTAAAAACTTGGCGATGCTTAAAAGACAGCCTCTATCTGGGGGTGCTTGCGGCCAATTCGACTTCATTAAACCAGGTGCGGTCTTGTAACACTGCTCTCCGGGCCATCATTATAAGCTTTAATCGCGCCGCATGATAAACGCAGCTCCTTACGGCCACCCGGAGCTCCGGAGCCCCGACTCCAGCTTGATGTTTGACACGTAGTCTTTTTTATGCAATTTGGCTGGTTTTTAATCAACACCAGTTGAATTCACTGGGGCTTCATCATAGACAAATACGCGACCCTCCATCTAAAAAAAACAGCGCTACACTTGCAGGAGATCCGGCAACTGTGGGGCAAATTAACACACATACTCACAGGAGCTCCTCGGTAATTACTCTTGTTGATAAGCACCGTCCCTTTTTCGCCGATACTGTAACAAAGAAAGGCCAAGCTACTGCCTTTTCTCTCCCCACCCCGTCCCAACGTCGCTTACCCTCTTAGTTTTCTTCCTTGCCTAGGATCACGTTGGCCGGAAAAGGCGGACCATTCTAAGGTGAGTGGTGTGCGGCCCGGCCAATCGGTGTACGCCGTCAGGGTGCAATTTGCAACTGGACTTCCCGTGCCTGCCGATGCCGCGCACGAGCCATGTTCAGAAAACAAACGAACCCGCGAGCCACCAGGGCCTCTTAAAAGAGGGAGATATGTGTATCGATGCTGCCGATGAGTGAGTGCGATCTTCAGTTTGTTCTTCTGGCTATTTGCACGAATTCTGAGGATTTCCAAATGTCTGACCTAGCTGCTTTGCCAAAATGCAGTAATGCATTGCAATAAAATGTCGAGCATGCATAATCACAGGGATAAGCCTTTATTTTTAATGATTGCTTTCCGTGCATGTTACAGCTAGATCGCCATTTCTTTCCTCGTGCAAAGTTGTTCTTTGATTACGGGAATGTGTAGACCAGGATGCACGTCAGCCTGGGATCGCAGTGTGTACAGTTGCATGTGGTTTCAGCAGGTGCCCCTGGTTTCCGCAGAACCGCCTGATAGACGAAATGAAGCAGCTGCCTGCAGAAACTGTGCGATTGCTGTCGAGCTCTCAAGTCATCACCTCTGTGGTCAGTGTGGTCAAGGAGTTGGTGGAGAACTCACTGGACGCAGGTGCCTCGAGCGTCGACGTGAAACTGGTAATGGGTTCACAGAACATTATCATGTCTCCGTGCATCTTTTTTGACGTCCACAATTTTTAAACAATTATATGTTGAGTATCGGAGGTCAGGCTGCTGATTAAGGAATGGAAATTTAAACTAGGGCGACAACTTGAATCCTATTTACTGTTTTACCTCCAAAAATACTGAGAAATGACATTTGCATGCGGCTTCTGTAGATTATCTGGTCCTACGCCTCACTTGATCGTTGAAACAATATCAGCATTTTTATTAATAATGTTTGTTGACAGGGTACATGAGCATATGACACCTTTGGGTTAAGCTTTTATTAAAAACAGCTGTTTATAAAGACACCTTTGCATGATTCATTTAAAAAGAAATCTTCAGGAAATCGTTGACTGGAGCACTTGTTGCATTTCCTCTTGGTCCCTGAGGTCCAGCAGCTGGAATCCCATCTGCTCAAGCTGTTGCTCAGATGATATTTAGGTCTGTCGCAGAGGTGCGATGGAAGACTCGTCAGCAACCCTAATCCAGCTGTTTCCAAGGCTTATTGCTTTATTTGTGTCTCTGTGTTTTGGTGAAGAAACATCCAAATGCTTTTACATCCCAAAGAGCCTCTCACACTCACCCCATGCTGGCCTGTTTGTCTTGGTATCTGGGAGTATTTTTTGGAAACATGCATGGTCTTAGTTATTAAAGGGTCATTCTCATCAATGCCCTGTCTGGCAGTCTGCTTGGCATTTTCTCATGAACTCTTGCCATTTATCTTCCAATGATCTCCTGGTTGTTCAAGAAAATAGTGAACTTGTTTGAATATAATATTGATCGCTCTGATATGATTTTAAATATGGCCTTTGCCATAGTAGGTTTCACGTCACGCTTGTGTGAAAAGCATGCTTTGTTTCCCTGCTGCAGGAGAACTTTGGGCTAGATCGCATAGAGGTGGTAGACAATGGATGTGGAATCAAAGCTGCCGATGCTCCAGTGATGGCCGTCAAGCATTACACCTCCAAGATTTCTTGTCACAGTGACCTTGAGCGCCTGGAGACCTATGGGTTCCGGGGAGAGGCTCTGGGATCAATTTGCGCTGTGTCTGAGGTGAGAGACGGCCCCTCCTGCATGTGCAGTGTGAGGGTTATCATAGAGCGCCCCCTCAACGCACAAAGAAGGCAAATAGCCTGCTGGTGAGAATGTAGCCATGTCAATTATATTCACTGTGGCTCTTCTCCAGGTCATCCTGACCACAAAAACAGCTGATGACAATGTCAGTACCCAGTACACACTGGACCACAATGGAAACGTCACGTCCAGGAAGCCATCTCATCTTGGCCAGGGTTTGGCTTTGCTTTTCATTTAAACATGTATTCAGATTTGCTTCTTTTCCTTTCAGCCATTGAGCTACCATGGCTCTTCGTGTTAAAATTCTGCCCCCCCTCCACCCAGGTGCCACGGTGAGCGTCTTCAAGCTCTTTAAGAACCTCCCGGTGAGGAGGCAGTTCTACTCTAGTAGTAAGAAGTGCAAGGAGGAGCTGAGAAAGGTGCAGGAGCTGCTAATGGCCTATGGCATCATCAGGCCAGCCCTTAGAGTCCTGCTGACCCACAACAAGGTCCTGCCTCCTGCCGTTCCCACTCAATCTTTACCTCCTCACTCAGCTGTGAGCTTCTGTGGTCACCGGAGGGAGGAAGACATTGTATTTAACTTCCAGAATACAGGCTGCCTGAAATAACAGCAGCTGATTGGCCCAGAGGGTCCATGTGACATCCATTTCTGTATTTTTACCAGGGCTGACCTAATTTACTGCCACAAAAGCTTCTTTTCCCCCTGCAGTATCTCTTTCTGCCACAAGGGGTCCTCATGCATCTGATCATTTATTGGTTGGTATATGATGGATACTCTTCCAGCCAAGGTCAAACTTAAAATTTTCAGTTATAAGAAGTGTGTATTTCTATTTATTTATTTTTACTTGGTTAATTGGTAGTTAATAATGATCAGAGCATATCAGGAAGTGAGGTGCTTGCAGCAGACTTTGAAGAGAGACTCGGAGGTGTACTGGACAGGAAGTAGGATATTCATTTGGTTCCTTGGTTTTGGGACCCCTGTCAATGCCCTGTTTTTCAGTCAGTGCTGCTGCAGGTGTGTAAAAACAAAAAACTTGAACCATGAAGATAATAATCATGCACCTTATTCAGGGACACCTGCAGATTATTGGTCAGAAAAGGCCACACCAATATTATTTGCAGTTAGGCTTATGTCATACCAGTTTGTGTGGAAAGTGATGTGTGCCTGCTCGGAAGGCAGGGCCATGCTGAGTCCCTGTCCACATGTAAGGCGGGATCCCCTTGGAATGGTTGTCTTGCTGGATTCCCCTTCTGACCCTGTCTGCAGGTGCATGGTAGCCGTCGGCTTGACCTTTTCCCTGTGTGTCAGTGCAGGCGGTGGTCTGGCTGAAGGCCAAGGCATTGGATCACCGAACAGCCCTGATGGCGGCACTGGGAACCAGCACTGTGGCCTCCATGGTGCCTCTCCAGCATCGGCAGGAGCAGCCAGAGGTCAGTTGGAGGTCACAGAGAAGCTATGCTGCTGTCTAATGTACTTTTGACTACATCACCCACAGGGAGTTTCACTCAGGCTTCTTACAGGTGTATTCCAAATTTCTGTGAAATCTGTATGGTTTTGCAGGGTATTAAATATATCTTAGTTTGAATATTATCTTTAGTTTTTAATGCATTCCTTACTCCTGGCCAGACATGCTGATGGGGTCAGATGTCCTTAATGCCACACGGGGTTGTCATTTAATTAACTGTATTCCATGTGACCCGCTAGTCGATATCTGCCCTCGGTTGGTGAATATCATGGCCGCTCGCATACAGGCAAGACTGGCCTTCAGATCCACAGAATCTATGATTGAAACTGAGCGTTGTGGGATTTCTGAATCGTTATGCGGTCGTACATGCCTACAGTTGTGCTCTGTTAAGCTCTGAGCATGGTTCACATGGGAATATTCTGTTTGTTTAGACGTTATATCAAATGTGCCCTACCCCGCTGAAATTAACACTCTGCTCCTGCTTACGTATCACAGGTTCTCCTTATGGCCGATGCTCCAGAAAGTCTTTACCAGACAAGGATGTGTTTCTGTCCCCAATTTATTATATTTCAACAATTCTAGGAATTCCCACCCCGAGATGCTAATTTATGGTTTGGTATTATTATTTATTTTATTTTCTCCTCCCCTGAGCGGTCTGCTTGAGTAATCAGTCATCAGCCAGCGCGGTTTTCCGCTCGACGCCGCTTCTGCGGAGCCAAACTGTGTTCCTTCCGGGCGGTGCGCAGGTACGGCGCAGGAGGCTGATTTCCGACAGGCAACGGGACGCGACCCGCTCGTGTAAAGGTCGCCCGGGAAAGGTGTTCTTTGCATCAGAGCTGGGGGTGTTGGGTTCACCTGCGTTAGCTGACCCGTGGATTTCGCAAGCCGTCTAACTGGCAAAACAGATGCTTCCAGAAGAGACGTGCTGCTGTCTGGGTCAGCCCAGAACCTGCCTTCCAGCAGTCAGATTTGGAGAGCAGATTATCACTACCTGACGGGCCCACGACATTCCACACAGGGGCAGCAATTAGATGAGAGGTCACAGTGGGGGGGGGGGCGGCATCAGCATGGAGTCCCAGACTGGTAATGCTGGTGCCATGTCATCTCATGGCCACTCTCCACAGATCATTCTGGAAGGATTCTTCCCCAAACCTGGCTCTAACCCCAGCTTGATGAGCTCCACTACACCTGACCGCACGTTTGTGTTCATTAACAATAGACCTGTCCACCACAGAGACATTCTCAAGGTAGGATGGGACCTGGGGGGGGGGGGGGTTGGCAGGGGTGCAGGGTCTGAGGTATGGGGCTTGAGTGTGGGCATGGGGTTTGGGAGGGGCAAAGGGCTGGAAGTGTGGGCATGGGACCTTCACATGTCTGATATCAGGCACTGGCCATGGCTCTCTCCATCCTGCTCAATCCGGTAGCTGCTGAAGCGACAGTATGGGGCCCATGTTGGCGGGGAAGGAGCCCCCAGCCGCTACCCAGCGCTCATGCTGAGTGTCACTGTCACTGCCTCTGCCGTCGACGTCAACCTCACCCCTGACAAGACCCAAGTGATGCTTCAGTGCAAGGTACCACACCCTCACTGTAAGCCTCACCCTTATGTATATGGAGGTTCGGTTCCTTGCCAGTGAGCCTGGTATACTGATGTCCTCCAATATGAAGAGACTCCCTGCCTGCTGTTTTCAGGAAGCTGTTTTATTGGCCCTGGAAACCATGCTGACATCACTCTATTGCCCGGAGTCCAGTGGGCCACCCCCTATTGTCCCAAAAGACCCTAAGTGCAGAGTGGAGGAAGACCCCGTGTGCCAAACCGCCCCTGACTGTCCGGGGCCCCCTGCGGTTGATGACACGGCCCAGGTCACACCATCGGACCGGCATTCTGAGTGCGAGAAACCTGTGAGCGAAAACACCACCAGCAGGTCAGCAAACACAAGCTCCTCGTCCTCGTCAGAGGACTGGGTCATCAACAGCTCATGCAGCTTTGAGCTGAACCTCTCTCTGACTGGCGAGGATGGCATCACGAATGTCACCGGGGTGTCAGAGCCAGACATTGTGGATGGACCCAAACCAGGTCGGGACAGCAGTAGCTGTGTTCCCGAGGTCTCCCCGGTGAGCTGGAGTATGGGCCGTGGGCTGCTGGACCCGGACACGGGGCAGGCCGTCTCGCCCATGAGGGTCCATGTGTCTGTGCCGGAGCCCAAGAAGGCGGCTAAACTGACAGCCTATGACCTGATCAGTAACCGCACTGTGCGCCAGCCCCTGTCAGCCAGCGCCATGTTCGAGCAGGAGAACCGGACCACTGTCCAGCGGGAGAAGCCCGATGCCAGTGAGCAGGATGTGAGCACCGCCCTGGAGGAGAGATGGAAAAACCTGGGGGTGCAAGAAAGGAAGAAGTGAGTTTGGTTTGGTTTGCTATGAATTCAGGAATTCAGTTAATTAACTAGATAATAGTGATGTTAATAGCAAACCATCCAAAGGCCACATGTGTGAAGTACAGCGTGGAAAGTCGGCTCTGCTGCAGGGGAGGTTTCTATGAGGGATTCCCACATTATTAAATGGTCACACTTTACCATATAAACCCAGCGGTTCTGCATGATACACTGCTGCCCCCCCCTTTACTTGATGAAGGTTCCCTGTGTGATAGACGTTTCAGACATTCAGGGCAAAGCACCAGTTTGTTTGCCTTCTCTGTCACCCACTGATTTACGCTTCTTTTCATGACCGCCTTTCCAGACGCCATTGTGTTATTTATTATTTTTTTCTGTAAACTTCTTGCTCCATGTTTTCTTTGCTGGAAGGTGGACAGGTTCCCCATTAGATTTGCAGCGGCCTGATCTCCATTTTCCAAAAACATTCATGTGAAGTGAGTCACTCTTATAGATTTACACGTTATCGCGCAGTCCTTGGCTATGTCCCACTGGGCAGAGCAGTGGAATTCTGGGAAAATGTGGCCTCTTCCCTCTGCTCTTCCTCGCTCTGCCTTCCTCTTCCCCCCCTACCCCCCCCCTTACCACATTCCCTGGCCCTGGGCTACCCCCCCCCCCCCAATCCCACAGAGCCACTCAGGTTATCCAGAGTATATTGTATATGATCCTGTCTGTGAAATGTGAGGTATTTCAGTACCTTCGGCCACTGACCTCTCCCCTCGCAAGCCAGGAAAACCGTTAACACTGAATGTCTGTTAGTAGAAGTGCTGATGTTTAAAACATTCCCTGTGTTACTCTCGGCTGGTTAATTCCACTTAGAAACATTGTGCCGGGATTGACAGAGTGGCCTGAAGAGATCTTAAGCACAAACCTGTGAAGGTTTTCATCGCTTAGCCTGGTTTGTGTCTTTTAAGTCAAGATTAGCAATTCAGAATAATCACCGTGTTTCAGTGAGCGCTCCTGAGGAGGCAGCTCTTATTTATTGTCGATGAATAATTATGTTATGGGACATTTTTATCCAAAGCGACTTACAGTAGAGGGAAGTACTTTTTACATATACTTCATGGGAATTGAACCCATGACCTGTGCAATGTTAGCCCCGTGCCCTTCTTGTTGAGCTACAGGCAAAGATGCCTTGAAACTAAGCTGCTGCTGGTTTAACTACCACTTTCCGGTCCATTCCAGGTATGAGGAGAAGGCTGAGAAGGACCTACTGCGCTATCACCTCCAGTCAAAGCGGGCTGCAGAGAGAGTGAGCTCAGAAAAGCATCCCAGGCCATCTCCTCCTGCTGGTCCAGGCCAGAAACGCAAGGCCCCTCTGTCAAACCTGCAGGTCCTGGACCAGCTGTTCCTCCAGCCTCCCAGTAAGAAGAAGCCCCCTCCAGAGAAGCAGTCTATCCCAGTGGCGTTCAGCCTGGCGGCACTGAGGCAGAGGTTGATCAGAACCACAATGGGCCGCCGGATCGACTCAGATACAGGGGGGGTGCAGCTCGTGGGCCGCCTGCCCTCACACAGCGCCTGGGTCATCCTGCGCGGCTCCCACCTCTTGCTGCTGGACCCGTCCCGCATAGAGGAGGTGCTTCTCTTCACCCAACTGCTGGAGACCAACATCATCCCCACCCGCCTGCTGGATGCCCCGGTCACCTTAACCAACAGGTAAGGGCCGGGATCCCCAGCCACCCATGATACCACCAGCTTCCCTCACACACTTTCTGCTGCCCCCAGTGTCCTGGGTGACCCAGCAAACATGAGGGCTCTGTGCAGCATGCAGAAGGACCCTCCCGAGCTGAGCGGGGCCGCCTACTTTACCGACCCCAGGCTCGTGGCCAACGGCTTCCAGATCCGGCAGATCCCTGGTACGCACTGTACAACCTCAACCCCCCCCCCCCACCATGTACTGCTCAAACCTGTCTCAGTGCGGTTCACCTGAAATCACATTTCAGAAATTAAAAATTTTTTTAATTATTCTATTGCTGCTAGGTTCTGTTAAAAGTTAGGAAATGATATAGCTAAAATTGTATGAGAATTGCCATTTAAATAAATGTTTCCAGAATGGATAAAGAGCATTTTGTAAATCTGCTGAATGTGTTTTAATTTTATCATCTAAGGCTTTTTTGCTGGGACTTCACCACTTTATCTCTGGGATGAATTAACAGCCTCCACCCACCTTTAAAATAAAGTGTAATGGGGGAGGGGGGTCATTCCTCCTTCACATCAAGCTGCTTACATCCTGCTGTTTAAAGGTCTCTGGGTTTACCTGTTTTCATTTAGAAGAACAACATTTTGAGCATTTCAAAATGCTGGACATTTTAAATGTCATAGTTTATAAATGATTAGCAAATGTCAGAAGCGGGTGAGTAAATAAGAGGATTACGGCACTGAGGTCTGCAGATCAAGTTCACGTTTTCATGGGATACAGGCATTTCGGATCAGGCTGAAACGGACTAGAGAAAAACTGTTTCAACCTGGTGTCGTTCTGTGCTGTTTGATGATCATGTCAGATCCTGAAATATAAAGGCGTGTGGTGTGATTTACCATTTCATTCCTTTGTTACGTGATCGCTTAAGTGTTCTGGATCACATTTTAAAGAAATGGGACCAATAGGGTTGATCATCAGAGTCGTGCCTGTTTGACCTTCAAGAAGATGTCAGGTTCCCACTCTGGCTGTTTTGGTCTCTGGTAACTTCTGGCTGTGTTCATGGTGCTGTTTGCTGCACACATTTGCTTTAGGATTACCTTGTCTCCCAATCCTGCGTGCTCCTTATCCCCCCTGGAGCCCGGGCCCTGGCTGCAGGTTTGAGTGTGACCCCGGTTAACTCGGGCTCAGGAGCTGGCCAGTGTTTGAACTCTGAGAGGGATTTGGCTTCACTCTGTTGCCCTTTAGAGATTAGTCTGAGAAACTCGCTTGGTTCCATCAGCTGGCGGATTTCTCCACCCAAAACATGTTTTTGTTGTTTATGCTGCAGGACAGTTAATTGAGGCCATTCAGCTGAACCACAGGGAACAAGAAGCCCAGCTCTCCTTAACCCTTCTGCCACCTGCTGTCCTGTATACATAATGCAGCAGAGGCATTTGAGAGAAGCATGCCTGGAGCATTATCATTAACATTTCTTCTGCATTGGGGACCGTCAATTTCTTTTGTAATTATTTAATGTCCCACAATGTTTGTTAGTGTTGGAGAGGAGCACAGGGCCTTGGGAACACCCCTGCCTGCATAACAGATCCTGAAAACACGGTGCCTGTCCTCCCTGGACAGGCTGAGCTGGAGCCTTCATGCTAAACCCATCTCCAGCCCAGGAGGAAATTGTAATAGCCATTTAGCACTCTATTTGGCATGCCGTGTGTTTGCCTTGGTGTTGCCCCAAATTGTAAATCAAAATATTTATTTATTATTCTTTCCTGGAGAAACTTTACTGCCCAGAGTATATTAATGCTTGTTTTCCGCTTCGCTTGGCCAGGCCCTCTGTCCCCAGAGCCACATCTGGAAGTGGCTGCAATGGCTGACTGCATCCCCTGCTTCGGCGTAGGCGATCTCAAGGAAATTTTGAGGGCTGTGGTCGAGAGGCAGGCGGCGAGCGTGAAGGAGTGCAGGCCTCTCAAGGTCTGCAACTACCTGGAGGTATGCAGCGCCCTCACCTCACCAGCTCTGCTGTTTCTGCTGGAGTTAAAGGAGAGGCTCCCAATCTCATTTTTCATAATGTAATTGTTTCTGGGTTCAATATTGCTCTGTAAATTAACTTTGGGGAGCTACAGCAGTAAATTTGCTTCGGTCGGCTGTGTCAGAAAACAGGTCTGGTTTGAGGGACCATGGGCAGAGGACAAAGTTTGGGAAGCAGTGTGTGGCTTACTAGTTTAAGACACTGCCTGTGATCAGAAGGTCACTGGTTCAGATCCCAGCAAAATCTCAGTAGTGATTTCATCATTGGGCCGTTGAACAAGGCCCTACACCCCAATTGCTCCAGGGACTGGCTTTTGGATGAAAGCATCTGCTGAATAAATAAAATTGTAGCTGATGCTTGTAGTATAGCTCTGAGGGTTAATGATTCTTCTGCCCCCTTCCACCCCGCACGTGGTCCGGCATGCCTGCTGACATGCATATGCAGGGAGAGGCAGTGCGCCTTGTGCGGCAGCTTCCCCTCTGCTTGTCTCAGGAGGATGTGAGGGACACCCTGTCTCGGCTGGACCGGCAACTGGGCACCGCACGCCACACCTGCCTGCATGGACGCCCATTCTTCCATCCACTGGCCAAGGTCCCGGAGACGGAGCAGGACCCCCCCACGAGTTGCTGAGCATGCTGGGAAGGGAAAATTGGCCTATTTATCACCCGTCCCGCTACTACTTTCACCCAACTGGAAACTGACAGCCTTATGTGATGGTTTCTCATTAAAGAACTTTGTTTTAATTCTATTCATGAATATTTTTTTTCTATGCACTGTATTAATGTCCAGATTTATTAAATGTACATTAATAAATTACAATTTTGTGAATCACCTTCAATACCCATTGTCATCAGCTTGACATCAGAGTGGCAGGTCTCTGCTACTCATGCAGGGCCCACGGAACTGTACAAGACTGCCTTTTCACCCAGGCGCAGCTCAATATGTCCTCAATTCCCAAAATCTAGCAGTATGACCCCAAAGAGAAGGGGGAGCGGGATGGGCAGAGCTGTTGACTTTGGCAAAGCCCTTAAGACGAAGCGACTAGCTGGATTCACTGTCTAGTACCACTGAGCACCTGTTCCCGTTAACGCTCTCCGGAGGACACCAACGCAATGTCTGAAATGAGACATTGTGCTTGGGCAGGCTCCAGCAACTGTTTATGTTTACGCTGGATTTTTTGGAGCAGAGAAGTTGCTGTTTTCACCCACTCAAATCAGCCAAGACAGGTCTCAAATGAGGAAGTGGTCCCAAAAACCCCTACGCATTGAAGGGAATTGGCGTCTACATTATTATGGTTAGTCATGATGTCACAGACTAACATGCGGGAAGGTGCTTCTCTTTTAATCAGGGGATGTGATGGAATTAAAATTATAATATTAAATTATACCATGCCACAATGAAATTCTCAAATCTGAAGAGTATTGATTAATTTTCTATAACCGCATATGTAATGCTGGGCCTCCGAATCGCAGTAGTAAATCAATGCACAATTATAATCTTTAAAATTGACAGAAACTATAAAAGCAAAGAAATTGCTACAAGTCAAGCAACAACAATGCTTCAGGCCGAGGAGCTCGACCCATGGTCAGTGATTAAGTACCAAAATTATTTACTGCTATAATGCACTTGTGCTCCAGTCATACTTTACAGTCCTATTTAATCTGCTTAAATAAGATTCTATGTAAGTCTGGGTTTAATAATCAGTAAATATTAAGCTAAATTAATAAAAGAATGGTTGTTATTGCAATTTTTTCTTACATATTTGTATACACTCACCTAAAGGATTATTAGGAACACCTGTTCAATTTCTCATTAATGCAATTATCTAATCAACCAATCACATGGCAGTTGCTTCAA